GCGGGCCCCGGAACCCGCCCGGGGCAGGTCCGCTTCCACAACCAGCCCGGGAACCCAACCCACTCTTGTATTTCGGCTTATTCCGCACGGCGACTCATGGAAGAACGTTGCAGAACAACATCGGCACCCGGTGGGTACTTGTAGAGGTGTGCTCAACAATCTGTCGCAACACGTGCCGGACAAGCGTCGAGAATTCGTTTCGTTGCAGCGAGCGCGAGCGACAGACACAACTTGATTGAGCGATTCCTCGAGGGGAACACCGTCGACCATCGTGCAGCGCGTGGTACTGACACCCTCGGCGATTGTTGCACTCTAGAGAAATATTCCAACCGTCGGGGATCGGGTGCAGAATGCGCCACGACCTAAGAACTTGGTCAATAGTTAGTTTGAACTTGAGGGTTTATTTTTGGGTCCCACCCAAACCTAAAGCCTAATTTATCTCTGTTTATTTCCTCACGGACGAAATAGACCGCGAGGGTTGCCCTGTCTTTGTACTCGACAGAGTACGGATCTCCGGGATCTCCGGTGGTCTCGCGGTTGTTTGTGTATGGGTGTGGTGGACTTGGTACGTGAGTTTCCGCTTGGCCTTGCCCCTGTCTCTCTCTCATTGCACTGGTTACAAAAATGAGCTGAGTCACTCCGCCGTACAGAACTACTCTCGACAAGAGCCCGCGAGCGTGACAACGAAACGCGCTGACATGTCAATCATGCTCAACTTCAATATCTGTCTGTATCTGTCTACATCTATTAAAATGCGGGGAGAAAACAATTAGGGAATTAGTCTACATTATCATGCTACCTCTTTCAAATACGAGTAGCGTAGGAAAAAAACACACCTCCCCCCCAAATGTCTGCACGGACCAGCTGAGTAGGCATCATCTGTTGAGAGTAAAGGTTCACCCAGATAGAAGCCGTGCGTTGGCAAAACCATGAAGACACCACACTACGCTAAACAGGGTTGAACGAAGAGTATGAGCAACCGCGAAATGGTCAAGGACAACTACCCCCTATATTCTACCCTGCCCGGGCTGTCCTTGCCTCAAAATATAAAAGACTCTGACACGCGCCGCCACCACGGCAGCATAAACGGTATGTTGCAACAAAAACCGTGTTGCCTTACGATTGATTTCGACGCTCGATGTGGTTCATGCTTTATATCCACACAAAGAGCGAGCGGGTTCACCAAACGTAACACCAATCCCCACACCCGCAACAACGACGACCAAAAACGGCAATGACCTCCCCCCTCTTCTTCAATGTACTCCTATATGTACGACCGGTTTTTTTCCGTTGTTCATTCTCGTGGCGTGTGCGATGTTTGAAAAAGAACCCCTCCCTCACTCCATGCCCTCCGGTGCGTTGTGTCCCTCAGAGAAACCAACCACAAGAGACCACACGAAATTCCAATTCTGTGATGTACAGGGCTACACGGTCTACAGACATGGAGGTGGGAACCGGGCGCATTCTACCAGACAGTGGTGATCGCTGTATGTAGGGGATGCGTTGCTGCGCAGGATGTAGAGTGCCCAGGTACAACAGTCGGTACATCTTGGTTCGCTTGGCATGACTACGTGTCTACCCTGGGTACACTCTTCTGCCCCCCACCAAACGCCTCTCTCTGCTCCACCAAATGTGTACGGCAAACGCCTCGAAGACTCGGTGCGAGGAAATCGATCTATTCCCAACACCCAGCTACCCTAGATGCCCCCCACGAGGTTCGCACTGATACAGTCTGATAGCTCCGCTCCCAAGCATGTAAAATTGCTTTGGAGCAGGTCGTGTCACGAAACGAAGAAGGCACAAAATGGGGGGGGTCACCACCTCGACACGCTTGGGCATCCTGGCTTTCTCACTGAAAGTGGGCTTGTCCTACCTGGAGGGAAAACAAAATACAATATACACACATCTGCCTTCCTTACCAAACGTCATTTTCTACCTTGCCGAAAACAGGATCCGCATGACTGGAGGAAAGCCTCGACAGCTGTCACAGCAGACTACGCCGTTCACGAGTCACACTTCGTAAGGCGACCGGCCACACGACCGGCCACATGACTTCGGCGATGGGCTGGTTGAAGTGATGACGAAACCGTAGCTGCTGCAGGGAGGTCGGCCACACGACGTCGGCGATGGGCTGGTTGAACTCATCACCAAACGATAGCTGCTGCAGGGAGGTCGGCCACACGACTTCGGCGATAGGCTGGTTGAAGTGATCTCCAAACGACACGTGTTGCAGGGAAGCCGGCCACACGGTTCCGACGATGGGTTGGTCGAAGTTGTCCCCAAAGGCTAGTTGCTGCAGGGAGGTCGGCCACACGGTACCGACGATGGGCTGGTTGAAGAAGTCTCCAAACGATAGCTGCTCCAGAGAGGGCGGCCACACGGCTTTGGTGATGGGCTGGTTGAATTGATCTTTGGTGGTACTGAAGTATTCAGAACGAAAGGATAGCTTCCGCAGTGAGGCCGGCCAGACGACTTTGGCGATGGGCTGGTTGAAGGATTCTCCAAGCGACAGCTGCTGCAGGGAGGCCGGCCACACGACTCCGGCGATGGGCTGGTTGAAGGAATACCCAAACCACACCTGTTGCAGGGAGATCGGCCACACAACTTCGGTGATGGGTTGGTTGAATGAAAACCCAAAGGATAGCTGCT